CGGGGCCCTCCTAACGGCCACGAGTCCCTACCAGCCCGGGCAGGCGCCGCGCACACTCGGGCCAGCTTGTGGAGGGACACAGAGATGCCTTTCCTGCAGGCAAACGCTCTCCGCCCGAAGAACCACACACCGCTTCTATTATGAGTTTTATTTACACAGGAATTGTTACTAGTGGTCGTAAAGGAAGGTTTGATCCTTGTATGTACAGATATATACAGAGATTTATACTTGAAAAGTAAGAAAACTGTACAAGTTAACACAAAAATATAAGACAAATTGAATCCAATTAAAGTAGTGAATACATAAGTTAAGAAAAATTTGACATTTAAAGTTCAAATTGTAATGTTATGAGTAATATATATGTAGTTTTGAAACCAGATAGCAATGTAAGTTACATCACACTAGCTTAAATCTTTACCCCAAGTTATTCAGACTCTGCTTTTAAACACCAGACAACTGAGAATCTCCTGCACTTAAAAAGAGGCAATGATAATTGACTTGATTACTACAGAGGGACCAGTTACAAAAACCCACATGTAAGGAATTTATTTACATTACATATTAGCAAAAAGGGACCAAGAGAGTGCAAGTGTTCCTCACCTGCAGTGCTATCCATTTTAAATTTCCAACCTCTACTACTGAAAGTTGTACAGTGCCTTTTTTTAGAATAAATAGAGAATATCTGCTGTGACATGTACTGTACAACATTTCTCACAGTTAAAAGTTGGTAAAGAATTAAGTATGACAATACTATATGCTTTCTGGATTTCAGTATTGCACACTAATAAAAGATAATTAAAATTCTATTCCACATTGAATTTTTCTGAAGTGTATAAGGTGGATGCTCCTTTGCCAATACAAAGCCTGCAGATAGCTTTTATCAATCTCTAGTGTTTACCATTACCTATACATATACCTCTTACTTGAGAATGGCTTAGTGAAGTAAAACATTTGGTGGCAGAACCCGTTCACAAAATACCCACTCCACTTTTAATAAGCTGCACAACTAATACACCAAAACAAAGGCTTAACACCATTCAGTTTGAAAGCTGTACACAACTGAGAATAGCCCTGATCTTACTCCTTTTTAAATTAAAAAACACAAACTTTTTTTTTTGCTCTAACATGTTAGGGCACAATACTTCTGCATTTCCTGAGTTAATTACATTTGCCCAGAATGAAGCTGTAAATTAGAAACAAGCAAATTACAGTACTCCTTCCCAGATCTTCCCACCTTGCACATAACTATACCAAACAACCTTATTTGGTCCTCAATACTTCTAAATGGTTAATTTTGGAGGTAATATTTGTACCAAAGCATTTAGTCTGGATAGCAGTTTTGGGGCCTTAACATTAGCATTTTCCTCACCTTCTCCCCCCCGCCCCCACCAAAAAAAAAGTGCCTTTATGGTATTTGTAAAAAAGTTATGCCTTTTTTTTTTTTTTTTTTAAGTACCAACAGAAGTTATTACAAATGTTTATTGCATTGAGCTGATTTTTAAAGTATTAAATATGAACTCCCCACTTCTGTTTCATAAGCTTTAGTATGCCGTGTGGAACAAATCTTCACACAGAAAAAGCTAATACTGGCAAAAGGCTCAAGATTTCATCAGTTCATTACTTCACTGAGAGCTATGCTAGCTCTCTCATTTCTTACACTCTTTTCTACAGTGGCTTTCCATATAGAAGTAATACAAACTCCTTTTTCATCAAGCGGTTCCCCGTGTTTTCAAATTGACCTAATGTGTAGACATTACGATGATTAGCTTTTCAGTGCTGGGCTATGGTTCTTGTCCCCTTCCTTGTTGTCCTTCATTAGTGAGGCAAACACCTGGAAATGTAAATTATTTAATGAATATAAACAAGCTAATCTAATAGAAAAGGCCAATATTAAGTCACAGTTTCAGCACAGAGACTAATTTCTGAAATGAGACACTAGAGAGGAAGAGTCAGTTAACACTAACTGTTATCAAATCCTATTAGGAAAATCCTTCCTTTATCTTAGCAAATACAGCAATGCAGAATTGATTTCAGGAATAACTGGAGATAGAGAGGCAGACCAGTCCCAAGTACTCCCTCACTTGCTATCCATTCTTCACAACTCAGTTTGCATTAGGAGCTGAGCCAAAGGCAAATCTGACTTCTGCCCAACAAGACTATATCTTGGTAGGAGTTTCTTTTGCAACAACTCTAGTCCTTTGCTATACAGATATTTCTCATCAGAATTTAGATAATTTCAGTAATGGGATAGAGGTGGGAAAAAAGTATGTCAAAAGCCATAAAACTGCATGGACAGAAATTTTATTCAAATGGGTATTGAGAACTCACTTTAGACTCTGCATTTTTGTTCAGTTTCTGGCAGAATTTGGTTTAAAGTGTTCATCTGTCTTGATCTGCACTAGGAACTAGAAATCAGTAATACCAATTCCTTTGGTATTCCTTACCAAATAAGCCAGTTTCAGGGGCAGTTCTGTTTACAAAAAAGCAACCATCTCAATATGAGCTTCTGGTGCATCTCATGCCAGAGGTTAGACCCTGAATACAGCATCTATCCTCACTTTAAAGTCTGACATGCAGCCTAAAGTAGTCATTAAGAGAAGCATCCCATTTAGTGTTCTGAGATTCATAATCAAAAACTCACCTGTGCCCATTTCTTGTTACTATTCTGCATCTGAATAGCTGCAATACAGGTAAAAAGCTTTTCTGATGTAATGTCTTCTGGAAGTTTTGTTAAAAACTGTGCTATATGAATGAAGTCCATCTGTAGAAGAATATCTTCATACAATCGAAGGATTCCTAATCCTGTCCTAAATAAAAATTCTTCCCCATCTCTACAGAAAACATCCCAGACGCGACAGGCCAGATCAAGTGGTAGTGACTTGCTATAGAGTGTAAAAATCCTACAATTAAGGAGAAAAAAAGTGTAATTTTAGCATATTTAAGAAACATGAAATTATCCTCTCCTTTAAATCTAAATTACATTAGCAGATGACAAGTTCTCTCAAGCTTGTCCCCCCCACCCTTAATTTGAAGATCATAGAACCATTATGGTTAGAAAAGGCCTTCAAGATACACAAATCCCCAGCTCTTCAAATCATAACCCCATAAACGTATAATGCTATAGGAAATTCTCCAATTAAAAACAAAGATGCTCAGAAGTTACAAGCATCTTTATATTCAAGTACGATACAATTTACAAGCGCTTATAGAAAGACAAAAACTGTGATATTTAGACTACACAGTAGGCAGAATTTTCAAATACTTTACACAACAGCACTACTTCTGCAACAAATACACCTCTTCATATTCTCTTTAAACAATTAGGGCTCTATCACTCATGAGGTTAATACTGCTACTGTGTGCCTTGCTCTTGCTGAAACTTGCTATCTGATAAGCTGAATCATGTAGAAGTGCTTCATTCCCAAGCAATGGGATGATCTAGCACATTTATTATTTAGTTCTATGCAACTCAATTTGCTCTATTAAAAATATTCAGCCCATACAGCCATCCTGTAACACACACAGATGTGTGCATGCACATATATTTGCACGGACTGTGCATACATGCACTTCTGAGGGAACATTCAGTATTTGTAAGCCCTGCATGCACTTAAAGGGTGTTTGCATTAGTGGTACACAGTTTGGTACTGCTTTAGATGATCCAATAATTTATAATGTTTATCTTATTTCCAAGTTTACCCCTTCTTGAATCAATAACTGTATTTCATTTAGTCTTTACTTCATATGTTTTCCAGAGCTTCCTCTTACATTTTTCAGTAAGATATTGTTCATTTCATCAAATCCCTTATGATCAGTCATAAAACTGCACTTGTTTCTTCACATTACAAATAAATGACTATTACTTATAATGATCTAAAGAAGTCTTCCATGCCTCACTTCTGCCTGAGTATATGCTTCCTTTAACCCCAGCTCAGAATCTTTGAATCCTGCCAGAGGAACTGCAGGTGTATAAAGCAGGCCACAGAAGTTTCACAAGACCTAGAAAGCTCAGGTACACATGCACCAGGTATGTTTTAGTTTGTCTAATCTTCTATTTTCATTGTTGAAAAATCCATAGCAAAAATGGGAATAGTTTCAACAAATATAAGTTTGGTTATACTATACTACGTTCTCTGAACTCACCAGTCTATCAAATATATGTCTGGAGTAAGACTGTATGATTTGAAGTGAAGAAACAATTTAGGAAGGTTTTCTTCAAAGAATACTTCAAAGGCTGCAAAGTATTTCAGCATCTGTGGAGATTAATAAAATACCTTATAAGCAGTCTGAAAAAGAATGGAGTTACAGAAGAGCATAAAACCAATCGAGGGTTGAGGTTCTCAACACAGCATGATGCAACCTTTTACATAAGCGCCATGATGAAAAGTCAAAATAGTGGAATGCGTTCAATGGATTAGTATCTAATCTATAGATGAAGTGCTTTCAATCTTGTCACCACAGGTTAAAGTTCTCCATTATACAAAGGAATAAAAAGGAAGGAAATCACTGAACTCAAATATGCTTTCAGGACAAAAGATGAACATCTTTTGTTAAAGTTCAAGTGTCAAAACCAGAAAACTATGTGCATACCATGCTGTGATCCACTCGGAAAAAGGCCAGCTGGCATGGCTTGTTTAGAAGGTTAGCAAAGGCAATGAAAGCATCTGCCTCTTCCAGATTGAGAATGAGCACAGCAGCAATGAAGGACATCCCTTGTACCTTCAATGGGGGAAAAGCATCAGGCAAACATAGGTAAGTAGGTTCAGTAATTTGTACATCATTGAAGCACAAATACTTAGTCAGCAATATAGCAAATACTATTATATAACATTTCCCAATGAACACAAAACAGCATGGATATCTTTTATGCATGCAGTCATTTAAGAAATCAAGTGTCTCTTCAAATACAAGTTTTAGATGCTTGATGAAAATTCTGGGAGGTCTTATAATTACAAGTCCTTGGGGACTTGGAACGCAAGAAAGTTAAAACCACACAGGCTGAACACAGAGCTCACAGGAAACAGAACTTGGCCTTAACTTTATTGTTAAGATATGGGAAAAACAGACATGGAGAAAGTCACATATGGGACAGTTTAGACCCAGACAAATATGTTGGAATTGAGACAAAACTTTCACAACAGTCAATGCAGATCTTCCCAGTTGCCAAACACTATTTGTTCATACACATAAAACTAGTTTAAGTGGTAGCTACAATGCAAGTTTTACACCTTTCCACAATCACATTATCAGCAACTTCAGTGTCCCATGAAATAACATTGCTCTTGCAGTTATTAACTGATGATCTGAATACTTATTATTCTAAAACATGATTCCACTAATTTGATCTGTAATGATGATTATTTTGCTCTTTTTAGGTACTTATGCTGTCAGTTCCTCACTAAAAGAACGCACACAATACTTCAACAAATAAGGAAGAAAGCATTAATGTGTATCAAAAACAACCCATCAGCTTAGCATTTTTGGGGGACGAAGGGGTGCAGAAATATTATCTTTAACATCAAGCTGACATTAAGAAAAACATAAAATCAGAAATATAGGCTAGCTGAAATTGTTCCATCATCTATTTCTACTGAAAAGAGAGGCCTGCTCATGGAAAAAAATACTTATTTCCTTTTAAAACTCCACCCTGGGAACAAGCAGCCTCATAACTTACAGAGTTTGTTATCTCTCTGAAGGGGTATGGGAATGAGTCCAAACATGAGGTCACAGATAAGCAAATTCAGAATGAGTAAAACATTTAAAAATGAAAAGCCAACTAGATATGATGCAGTCCTAAACATGTCTGACTTGAAGAAACACCCTGGGATATTTAATGCTTTGTCTTATAGACACATCTTTTAAAACTCTTCAAGTACTTTAGCCTAGAAGTGATTCAAAAGATTCTGAAAGGTATTCCTAGCTTCACAAGGAACAAAAAAATCCAGCATCCAGTTACTATTTAATTGCTCCTGTCAGCTGACACCATTAAGATGTTAAGATTTTTACACGTTTAGGTTTTTACTGTACAGTCTTATCTCCACCGAACTCAGATGAGCTGATTAACCTTTGCTATCAAAACAATATCCAATATAGAGTGTGCCTGGATTCTAAGATGTGAAGTAAGTGAAGCAGAGTCACTAAGGTTTAGCAGCAGTTGGAGCAATGCTAGCCTGGACCAGGGCAAGAGCTTAACTGGAAGCCTGCTGGCAGGTCTATAGATAATCTGGATCCACAAGGCCTTATGAACACATCAGTTCAAAAAAATGTCCACAGCAAGCCAGAAAGTGTACTTTGTATTAAAACTCAGCAAGTTTTCAGTTAGCTATATTTAAGAGCTACCATCATTGCAGCCACTATACAATAAGTGACGTTAACTTTTTGATCTTTGAGCAGCATAAAGTTTATAGAACCTAGTTCTACAGTATACTCTGATATATGGCATTTAAGCATCTGTGCCATGCTACAGGTATTTTATCATAAATACTTACATATCCCACATCCGGTCTGTAACATGTATATGCTCCTAAAACACTATGCAGGAGGTCATGATAGGGACCACCCTAATGCAAGGGGAGGAAAAAGGGAGGGGAAAAAAAAGAACTTTTCAAAACTGCTGCATAAATTTAGATAGGTATTAACCAGCAAAAGATGCAGAAGTAATAGTGAACTACTGCTCTGTTCACACCCTGAAAAATACCTTTTTACTGTAAGCACTACCTTTTATGCTGCTAAGATGTTAAAGGAAAAGTAACAGAGCAATAACTCGATATTAAATAATTCTCTGGAAATCAGTATAAAATAGAAACTGAAGATATCTGGTGCAGGGTTGTTTTTTCTCCTTTAAGAGTTGCTGGATGTTTTAACTTTTCATAACAGAAGTCATTACATTACAGTAATACGAGATATATATGCATGTGCACATGTTGTAGGGCACATTTCATTTCAGGAATTCACATATATTAAGACTTCTGCAGAAGTAGTAAGAATATTCTCATTATTAAATGCAAGTAACTTCATAAACATTAATAGGAACTGCATACATGTTTTTTTCCAGAAGAAAAAGCATCATCTCTCATTTACAACTGTCCAAAAAGCAAAACAACTTTGTCATAGTAAGCATCAAAAACAAACAGCCATTTGTTGTTGTATGTGGAAACCAACTAATTTTAGTCATTTAGTTTAATAAACTGCTTCTAAAAAGTATTTGGCATATGGCGAGCCACATTTGCCTGTTTAATGATTCAGAAGTTTAAAGTTGTCATAACTCAAGTCATGAAATTCTCACCTTCTGGAAAATATACAGGGATGGAAATGTGCGTGATATGTCCAGCTTAATTAGCTCCAGGCTGGCCTCACGATCAGCAACAGATGCACCTGCATCTGCAAGCAGAAACACCACTGATAGGTAATCCCACAGACTTCAGAATAAGTCTGCCGTAGGCATAAAGAAACTAAGGAAAAAGGTTACTTAGTTCTTCTAAAATGTATTTCTACACTGCTATAGTTTAAAAGCTACATTAAATACTGCCTACTGATACCTACTGTACATCACTCACTGCATGAAGTGAGGGATTAATCAGTAATTACTGCTTTCATCCACTCTTTCTCGTCAAGTCATACATACATCTTTACATCATTCAGACTTAGAGCAGGTTACCCTTTACATCTGCATAACGCTTTACCAAAGCCCATACTGCTACAGGCCTTTGGAGCAAAGACTTCACATCCCAAGCACTCCAAGTGCTTAAACTAGAGGAGCCAAAAGCTATCCAGGAACTGAAAGGTTGCAGGATTTGATGAACAGGCTCAGAAGGACCAGCTACACTGAAGCCTACAAGGCAGTATTTTTTTACAGCCCTCCTAAAGCTAAGAGATAGACACAGGAAGAGTCAGGAGGAACTGGAACTACCACAGGCCATACTAGAAAAGCTTGTTGAGAAAAAGAAGGCAAATTACAGAGAAACAAAGTACACAATTTAAAATGAAAAGTCCAAGAACTGCTGCTTAATGTCCCACTTTTCTTTCAAAGACTAAGATATGACCAGAACCAAGTTTTTTTTGGTAGCATCCATTTAATCACAATGAGGTTCAAGGAAGATGGAAAGCTACAGAGCACAAGAAACTCTAGATTTATGCAAGAAATTTAGTCCAGTGAATGAGAACAGTCACTGCAGGTTTTCTGAGCAGGTCTAACACATAGCATTTTTGACCAACCAAAATCTTCACTCCAAGGCATAAAAAAATAAAGATTAAGCATAGAAAGTATCTGCTAAACAAAAGTATTAAAGACAGCCTAAGAGAAAAATAACTCAGATCTACTCAAATATGCTAAAGACAGCAGAAGCAATTCATTTTTCAGACTTTGCTGCCAAAGACTCCTAATAAAAACAGTAGGCTGGCTTACTCTTTTTAGGAAATTATGTTTCCTAAAATATCTGACACAACCAGAACATTGCTTCCTCCCATTCATTCTCATCCAGAGCTACCATCACCTTTCTGAAATGACCAAACTCCTTAACCTTCCCCCACTGTCTCCTCCCCTGCACCAAAAAGAAAAAGAACACCCCCCTCTCCACTACACACACAAACCAAAGGACATTCCAAATGTATTTTCCAAGGCTAAGCAGAGAGTCACGTAAATGCACAAGCTTTTACAGTGTCTTAGATGAGTTTCAGACAAGTCACAGATGCAGCCTAAGAAAGACTCAAATAATTTACTGTCAGAGAGGACAGTAAATCAGGACTGACTATAAGGGAAAGCAAACAAAAGTACTTCTTGCGTGACAACGATAATTTTTTTTTTTCCTCAAGAGAGACTAACTCAAGAAACAGTTCTTGGCAGCCGGTACTGACAGTCACATAAGACAGTACCATAAGAAAACAACCGAACAAAAAAGCATTAACAGCACAAAAAGTTAGTATTGGTGACAAGGATATATCCACTATTAAAAGCACATTATTAATGTTATTTTTAGCTGAAAGGACACCAACAGGGGACAATATACCAGTGATAAAATTCCATCATGCATACACTTCCACATTAGGCATAGAATTAAGTGTGGTAAATCTCCATTTAATGAATTTAGGTGGAAAGGGGGTCAGGGATTCAAAATACATAATGAATCACATGCTCTTCACCTTTCAGTTCCACAACCAAAAATCAAAAATAACTTTTTTCCTTTCCCAACATTGTGGAAGGAATATTTCTGCACGAAGTGATCTTTATGTCAGCATACAAATCATTTAAGCGGGGCTAAGCACCTAGATTTTTTTTTTCTTCTTGTTCTTTTTGATCTTTTCTTCATTTCTAATCTGGCTAATTTGGCAGCTCATTTAAAGAAGTTTTGGTCATTTATTTTCTTTTTACCTAATCTATATTTCATTATCTAATTTTCAAGTTAGTGTAGGGCTGGAACTTCAGAAGAAAAACACTGACTTGAAAATGAATTAGTACATACAATACTTTAACATATCTTTATTGATACAGACAATCTTGTTGAGCTTCTCACTCACTGACTTGTTATAAGGAGGAAATCATCCATATGATTTTGAACAAATATTCCTATCACTGCATTACAGACAAACAAAAGATTTTGTTGAGTTGCAAAAACAAGAGTAGGATAATAGGAAGACATCTAGGATCCGGAAGACTTTACCTTCTGCGTCATTCTCTGAACTTGTCTCACTGAAGCTTTTCCATCGTTCCTTAGCCCTAGATAAGAAGATTTCATAGAGTTCTGCCAAAAAATAGGAAGAGATAGGTAACAGAAGCACCCCACGACATTAGAAGCACATGAAGTATACGTTTGGCTTTGTTGCTGTTGCTGGGTTTCATCTTACAGTTAGACAGGAATATATTATAAGGTTACCACTAACTACTAGAATAACAATATACAGTTTGGTACTTCACACTATATTATGCTTTCTTCTGGAGTGAAAATTCAAATCACAAGACAAAAATAAAGAATTAAATGTTGACAATCTTGTCTTAAGTCGTTTGCATTTATATTCTTTTCTGAATAGGTTAGAGGAAACACTTCTAGCTCATCAGAATCATTAGTTGTGAAATATTAATCACTTCACCTCTTCCAAATCACAGTTAAAACTCTCAATTTTTAATCAAAGCTTTTCTTCTGAACAACATTTAAACTCTAATAAAAATGAAATGGTTTACAAGTAGATTGAACCCTATTTCCATAATCTATTCTATATCTATTTCACTGTTAAAAAATACCTCTTTGACCCTCTAACGCAAAGCACAAAAGACAAAAACCCCAAAACCTCAAAAACTCCTGTTTCCCTGACCATGTAATACAGTTATTTAAAAAGCAAGTATGCCCTAATGATTTTTTTTAAATGACCGTCTTAATTTTGCATGAAAATATTATCTGTTAAAGCATACCAGGAGTGATATTCAATTCATTCCCAACCGCAAGACTCCAAACCTTCCCACGTACACTTGGAGGTAACCCCTGCCACCACAGTTCTCGAACTCTTCGGGTAGCACGCCTAAGATGCAGAAAAAAAAAAACAAAAAAAGAAGCAAACTAAAAAAAAATCCAAATCACATTCTCTGAATACATTAAGCAACTTAAAAGCAAGATAACATTTTCCAAATCAAAATTCAGGAATCTCTGGTTATGCTAAAATCCTCTGGCAGAGGAAGACCTGGCACCCATACACACAAAAACAATTAAAATAAAAATAAAAGATCAAAAAAAAAATCATGTTGCTTTAATGTATTATATTACAGCAACAGACTTCTTGACAGAAGAAAATGAAAAAGGCAAGCAAGGTATGTGGCTCTTCTGTTTGCAGAAGAGAAATACATGCCATATGTACCTCATTTACATAACAGAACTTCACTTACATGCCTTCCCAGTTAGGTAGTATTTCATTAACCCAAATCACCATAGCACTAGCAATATTCTCTTCTTGCTTGAAACGCTCTCTCATTATTTTTTTCCTTTTATGTGCTTCTTTAATTTCTGTTAAATATAACACACAAAATCCTGTGTTACTGTATCTAGCAGTTGAATTATTTATCTGATAAATTATCACCTGAAAGATCAAGGTTAAATCACAGTTGTGAGAGCTATTTTCTGTTGACTGCAGGCAAATACCGAATCAATTCTGCAGAAAACCAAAGTTTAAAAAAAAAAAAAAAAAAAAAAAAAAAGGAAAACGGTGGTTATTGCATGCCCTACTTTGAAAAGGGATAGATATGCCCTGTTTGTATTTTGCTTCAATGGTCAAATAGAGAGTTAGTCGCCAGTGGGTAGACCTACTTGGTAAGAAAATACTGAGTTAGTCCACTCTCTAAAAACACAAATTTGTAATATTACACATGCACTTTGCACTGCTCTTAAGTATAATATTTAACTCAATTCTTCTTATAAGAGAAACATATAATGCTTCAAATAAAAGCATTCAAGCAATGTGTTCTGCTATCTTAAAAATTTGGAGCTTTAAATGCTAGAATAAGATCAGTTCTTTCAGCTACCAATAGATCAATTTATCAGAAACTGGAACTTAAGAGTGAGCATAGACTATTAAAACAGATCATTCCCTGAATACTAGAAGGGCAACAGACCCTTATAGAAGTCCTTATAAGTCACATTTTAACAAACTAGTCAAAGACTGACACAGTATAAAACGCTACAGCTGTGTCTAATTAAAGACTAGAACTAGTGGGAGTAGGGAAGTTTGCGTAGGTACAGATGGCCAGGAAAAATATTCCACTGTCTTCATGTTGAACTTTATTACAATTTCCTAGGGAAAAGAAGAATCTTTAAGCAGTCAACTTTACTATACTTCCAGCAGCAGCTGCAGCAAGTCCACTAAGGAAAAAGTCTGAGCATTTTGAATGTTTCCAGCTGATCACATTACACAAGTTTAATAAAAAGAAAACTAAGTTTGCATTTAAAATATACATAAGTTAAACTGACTTCTGAATCTAATTACAGTCATAGAAACAGCAAAGAAACAACCCAAGGATGGAGTTCTGGTTTTATACTGTGTGCATCATATGCTAGTGAGCTGTAAATATCAAGCAAGGTTATCTTTAACATAAAGACTAGATAAGTCAAAATTATTTTTAAGAAGTTATAGTGATTTTTGGTAGTTAACGTACCTCGTTTTTTTGCCTCTGCCACCATTTCATCATATTCTTGTCTGTGGCGTAAAGCCTCCTCCACAGATTTGGCAGGAAGATTTCTGAAAACAAGTTGTTCCTGAATTCAATACACAAATGATATCCTGAACCATTTCAAAATAGGTTTTTACTTAGTCCTCTCCAAGATAAGCTCTAGAGACATAACATTACAGGTCTTTCTGTAACAGTGATAGAAAACTGTCTTTTTTTTTTTTTTAAATAGAACTAGCCAATATTGCTTCAGTTTATTTGTTCTCCTATGGTTTCTCTCTAAAGCAGGAGAGGTACAAGAAACTAGAACTCTGTCCAAAAAAGCCAAGTCCCCATACACACACACGGAAGACACACATATTGGCACATGCAAGATCTCCCAAAATTCTAATTATCCTTTCAATTTATGTGTACAGAAAGCAGAAGATTTTGCTCACACTCAGTCCCTAGTCTCTGAAATTACTAAATTTATTGAATATCTGTAATGACATCTGTGGTTACCCAGAACTTTCTATATCATTAAAAAAACAACACTATAGATATGATATTTCAGAGTTTCAGTTATGAGACCCAGTATATTACCAGGGTCATCTCTACAGGCCACAAGCAACTTTCACTTCCATGCACATCTGCACCTATAAAGGGTATCTACTGAAGCAAAAACAGTTATCAAGATTTGTTAGAAAAGTTAACTGAACTACAAGACTAACTTTACTAAATCAGCCTCGAGGGCAAGAGGTGAGAAGAACTGTGAAATAAAAACCATAGTCTTCAAAGAGTCTCTAGAAAAACCCTTCATAAAGTAAGATTTTCTATCAAAATTATTGTCTTTGATATATTACAGAAACCAGGCTCAACAAAGTGAGACATACCATTTATTTCTTCCAATACAGTGTCACCACATTTAGGCATATCCATACTTAAATCATTAAATATTCCAGCATATCTATGCCTCATTTCTCTTATGAAATTTATGACTGCATATTTTCCATAAGAAGTAAAGTTTTTCACTCATTATAGGTAGTCCATTTAAATTGCCAAAAGAGAAGATAGTTTATTCAAGAAGGATAGACCCAGTTTATGTCTAGAGCTGAAAGTAAGGAAGTTTGTTTTTTTCTTCTCTATAACCTACGTGTCAAACACACACTTTCTTTTATCCCAGTGTACTCACTCCAAAACAAAACAGTACCACAACTTTGGGTCTCAGCCTCTTACCCAAACTCCAGCCTACTTTGATTCAAAATAAATATAAGAGTTTTTGTAGTTTTGATATGCAAGAAAAATGAAGTTCCCCATCTCCTTTTATGCAAGTAGAAAAGATAATTTTCTTAATCTATTTCTGTCAGAATGAGACTGGAATTTATTTTCAAAGATCATATGATACAGCAACACATTATGCACTTAGGATGGTGCTCCAATCTGCAACAAGTGGCAGTGTCGCATTTTTTAAAAGCCTATTTCTGGTAAATTTGATTTTTCAAATTGAAAAAATTTGAAAGAATAGGGTAGTATCAGCAAGGCAGTTAACTCCGTATCTTACTGTCAACCACAGTAAGGGAAACAACACATTTATGAAGTCTTATAGCAGCCTGTATGTCCCTCCCTTCAAGACAGCTGTTTTAGCACTGAATAAGCTAGAGAATCTCTAAGGAATATTCTGTTTTTCATGTTCTCATTGAAATTCAGAGCAAATGCTTAATAGTGTAATCCAAATTTTCTCAAGGTGCAATCCAAAAGCGTTGGCTCTACTTGCTTTCCACATAAGCATATGTTCCTAGCCAGGAGGATCTCCTCTTTCCTTCAAATTACTGAAGGCAAGAGTAATAAAAATACAGACCAAAAATTACAGAATTGCAGAATATCTGGAGTTTCAAGGGACCTCTAGAGATTAGCTAGCCCTTTTAAGCCAAGGAAACAGTTTCACTGAATTCATCATCTTGGACCCAACAGATCATTTAATTGTAGTTGTCAGATACCGTCTGATCACAAATGCTGACTGTTCATTTTATATTTTTGGTGTTTTAAAAGCAATTCCACCCACTCCCTGCCACTACTTACCTACTACTTAAAATGTCTCTTCTGGTAGAACACTCTCCAGCTTTGCTTATGGAACAACTGTTAGTCTTGGGACTTCCCTACTGGTCTAGGAAATTAAAGTTTTCAGAACTGGGGAAAGAGAGGGGAGTGCACACTCAGGCAGCAGGGAAAGCACAGGGAAGAAATCCAAAAAAGTTTTCAAAAAATTCTCCTGATTAAGAGTGCCTGTGACACTGTCATAGGGCAGGTCTCAGTAAATGATTTTATTATATAGACTAAGTAGTTGTAAACCCTTCTGGAGGTATTTGTTTAGACTATCACATTGGATAGAATAATCAAATGTTATTTTTGAAGAAGAAACCTGAAGATTAGCTCATCATAAGCATAATCCAACAATTAACTGTCCTCTCCTACTCCACAGTAGGATTATACTTACGCTGGTCGATCCTCCAGAATTAGAGCAGTAGTCGAAAGTGGTTCAAATTCTATATTTTTACGCCTTGTTGATGAGGGTGGAGGTTTACACATTCTTCCTGTCCGCGCTTCATATTCCTAAACAAGATTGACAAAAATTAAACATAAACTTTCAGCTTCTCTTCTAATCAGAGAACATATATATTTTAAAAGTATTTTAAAAGTGCTAGAGAAATCATTTAAGATGGCATGGAACTAACATTTCAAGTTAAAGTTACTTAGAGCAAGACAATACAGCTTTTCAGGACTAAGTAAAGATGAATGAGAAAGTAGCTTCATGCATCAGCTTAATCTTTTATCCATTCCAGTTCAACATTAACACCGAGCACTCAAAGATCAGTTACATTTATAAAATCTGCATAAGTATACTTCTAATATTAATTATGAGCAATTATATTTGAGTAATTACCTGTGATGGTGGGGGTGCACTAATCATGCTTTCTTTCCATGTGTTCACGCTTGATGACTTCAGTAACGCCATCAAACCATTATCATCTAGCATACATACCCTGTACTGAGTGCCTGCATATGTATACATTTATTATTACCAATCTCTTTTGCCTCATTTGTTTCTCACATGCAGTCTGTTTGGAAAGGAACACTTAAGAGCTCTCAATACAGAGAGAATACCGGGGAAGAAATACCATTCCTTTTTCCATTGAGTAACCCAATAAAACAGAAATATGAGAATGTCTTTAGGAAAAAGGCTGGCCAGAGCCAGATGAAAACCTCAGATATTAAGTGTTCTCTTATTCAGGCTCTGTCTACTGCCAACTTGCTGGAAAATGCATTCTTGCAGTTTAGCAACTTTTGAAAGGTTATATGTGAGAATATATTCAACTTATTTGCAATCCCAATTCATTCGAGGCTTGTCTTTACACATGAAGACTAAATACTACTTTCCCACAATATTCTTTCACATACTAGAATTCAAAAACAGTATCTTAACAGCTGAAAAGTCATCTTTAAGAGAGCAAATTCAAGGTACTTTAATAACATACTTCCAATGTTCCAAAATCTCTGTTCTTAAGCAGAGCCAAACCCGCTCTAACTCATAATTGCTAAAAGAAAAGTCTTGTTTCTTCCCTATCTGCAGAAAAAGCACAAACATGCACCTTGTAAAGAAAATGTGCAAGAGCAGTAGTGGCATGTGCTATCATCATTAATACACATTCACACAAATAAACTAATTCTTCATAAACGCAATGATTTGAGAGTTAGTCAACTGTTCAGAAATATACAGAACTTAGTTTATTTAAGTGTCCTGGCCAAGAACAACAGGCAAGGCAAATCTCCTAGCACATATTCCTATCCTGAATGATAATTTATCCAAGTTACTTTGAAAACAAAACACATCCAGCATCATTTAACACAATATGGGGTTTTGTTGCAATTTACAGCAGCATAAAAATCCAAAGGCCCTAAATCCATTGAGTATATACACACATTTAAAGCCTAAAGTTATTCCATCCCATCGAAAACCTTAGATATAGATGCATCTCCTACACACTTCATTCTTCAGTCTACCCTAGTGCTATCTCAGTTAGGAAAATGTCCTGCAACAGCTCCCACAGATCAGTTATCTGGCCTCCAGTACTGAAAAACAGGCCCACATCAGAGCACAGTAGCGATGGCATCTAACATCAAGCAGAGGTTTGGAGTGACTTTACACTTTTCCAGCACTTTGCAATAGAAGTCACAAATCAACCTCATTCAGGAGTCAGAAATGAGAAAGTGCAGATGACACCCAGCCTTTTCGACATGCCTACCACCCGATTTGCATGCAAATAAATAAAAAGTACCAAAAGGAGGATGTTAGAACTGACATCACTCACTTTAGTACAAGCAACACATCTGCATGGCACTGATGCCTCTGACTATCATGTATTATAAGAACTAATACACTACTTCTAAAGCAATGAGGAAAAGAGTTCTTCGTAGGGGTTTCTACGAAAGGCTGAACTGTGAATGATTGAACAGCATTTTTGGAAATAGGCAGACTTTACAGGCAGTTCCTTCCTCACCTGTTGCCCTCTGCCAAGAAACAATAAAGCATACGTGCAAGGAAAGAGCGGAGCCTATTAGCAATACCAGAAAGAGTCAAAGAAAGGACCAAAACCGCTCCAAGTTCAGAAACTGTCCTGGCTGCATATTTTCCCAAGATGCCATGTATTGTATCATGGCTTACCTAAAGGAAATGATTCTTGCCCAAGAAGTCTGTTTTCTAAAATTTATTTGAAGCCATCCAGCATGCAAAGAACCCACCAGTTTGGTCAACTAAAACGCACATTAATGTCTGGTACCTCTCCCCACACATTTGTGTTACTGTGCTCAGTAACTCCAATAACCTTACCATGCTTTTGATATAGAATCAATTCTCAACACCAGATGAAAGCTTGAGCTGACACAGAATTTAATTTTACAAGAGGCAAGATAATACTCTTTCTTTAAAGAAAATTCCATTTAAGGCACATGACAACAGCTGAAGTTGCAGGGAACATCCCAGCAGATAAAACAGCCTGCAGCTTGGACTGCAGACTCCAAGACCCATTCAATAGCTGAGTTTTGACTTGTCTGTTGAGGTGAAGTAAGTTTCAAAAGTCAGCAAAGTCCACTACACATCCAAATACAGGAAAGAAATTAACCTCAGCTTAAACCAATAGATTTTATCTGTAATCGCTCATGTTTGACAGATCACTTCCTCACATGTAGAGTCAAGAGGTCACAGGCAGTTCCAGTGATGCACACACTGCTGTTCTGAGCATCATTAAGTAAAATTAGGAATTATGGTGGCTACTCTTACCATACAGAACTTGAATCTTCCTTTAAGCGTTCATTACCAGCTATCAACCTCTATCTCTACCAACACAGAGGCAAAAGACTAGAGGTTTTTATAACACCCCAAAATCGAGCGTCTCTTCCTGCCTCCAAAGGACGGGGTGCGCCAGCCAGACCAGTCGCAGCCGGTTCGGATATAGCCCACAGCGCTGGACTCCATCCGCTGTGGAAGCCGCGCAGGAAGGCCGCAGAGCTGCCCGCAGCTCTGCCGTGTGTCCTGCCCACAGCTCCTTCCAACAGGGCCCGGGCAAACCCGCACGGAGGGAAAGATGCTGCTTCCCCTGACTCCAGTGGGGCAAGGCTCACTGGTCAGATAAGGTATTTCTCTAGATGTGGAAATAATGGTTCAAATTTTGAAGACAAACTTTAATCTTCAGTGCCAATAACTCATACTGCTTTAAAGGAAAAGCAGTACATTTCACAACACTAATAATAAATAATAAAATGAACATGCATCTTGCTGGGTTAAGTTTTGATTTAACCTGGACCAAACCACAAAAGCTGAATTCCTAGAATGGAGTGACATGCATCCTTGAATCACAGACACTGCCAAGGGACTGACAAGTGCCAACTATACCTATTAAAATTACAGACTCAATAATATTTTAAGTATACTAGAAAAAATGGACAATGTTAGGCAACACCATGAACTAACTTATTTTATTTTGCTAAAGTAGATATCAAACAATATTAACAATCTAAACAGCGCACTGATCCCTTGTTCTACTGTTTCTTTTAACATGGTTCAACTCTCCACAAAATCCTGACACTACGACAAGTTTATTCCACCAGTTGCAAGTTTTGCTGAGGAAACAACTTGGTGAATATTTAGGTGAATATTCTGCTGAAGTTTTTAAAACTTTTCCCGTCTAAAGTAAAAAGTGCTTATAGCAAAAAGACTTTACTGAAAAATTCTGGACGTCAAAAACTACATGTCTGCTCAAAAGGCCACCAAGACAGACACAAAGTAACATGTAATATAGGAAGAGGGGAACTTTTCCCCAATAATGTGATATAGGAAGGGGAAAATACTAATCTTAGAACAGTAGGAAAGAACAAGTCCTAAGTATTAAACCCCAAAGACTCTGAGGAAGTTCCTAGGTGAATCTCCCAGCTTTCCAAGGAACATTAGCCACTTGCAGTTGCTGACTTCTCCCTTCAACTGGCTCTCCCACAAGGGGTGCAAGTTTCATGTCTTGTTGCTTACAAAAAAGCATGAAGCCATTGGCTCCTTGATCCAACACAAAAGAGAAGAGTGATCATACCAAGTAACATGAACAACAGGCATCATTTCAACAGCTACTTATACTCCTTTATTTCACAAAAGGAGAGTAAGTTCTAACAAGATGATAGAGTTGCTCTACTCCTGTTTAACCACCAAGGATGGACATTACTCAAAATTCAAAAGAACAAGCACACACAACCAGTTTCAGAAGTGTACAAGCTACAGCATAAGGGAAGTATAATTGCATATAACATGGAAGTTAATAGTTACACTTCACTAGGTTTCCAATTTCATATTTAAATAGTGTGATTAAAAGCATCTGGAGCTCTGAAGCACCAACATTAACAGCTTATGCGACCTGGTAATAGGGAATAAAAGATTCCAAAATATCAATTTTCCAGACCAACACAGTGTTCAAAAACACTATCAATTTTAGCATTTTAACAATTTTTACCAGGGGCACAACAAAAATGGGTAGAACTTGACAGGAATTTACTTCGTCTCCTGCTATTCAAGAACAACCAATATTAATAAACAACGCTACCACTTTTCAAGTTGTTAGTGAGATTCATGTGCAAGGTTATTTCTTTTTTGAACTAATGGTATCTAATGAGTTGATAGTTAGTGCCATAAAATATTCATGCTACTATGAAAATGTGATGTTCTATTTTTAATGAGTGCTATACAGTCCCATGCATGGCATTGAATGCAACTAGAAAAATATTAAATTCCATACCCCTGTGCTTAACAGACTGAGAGCAGATATTGACGCAAGACTGCCAGAACTGTCATCCTAATGAGAAAAACAGAAGCAAAACCTTAGTAATTGAAGAAAGAGACCATTAAAATATAGCAGCATGCAAAATAATTTAAATTTACATGAAGAATACTTATACTCTATGTTTGAAATATGCAGCTGTTTCTCCTTCATCAGCCCCCAAACTAATAAAAACGAAACTTCATACTTGTGCAACTTAGGCATAGATTCCTATCGGATTATTTCTCCATTTCTATTGAAGCTTTACATTTTCTAAATACCTGCATCCAACGGTAGACCTCCTCCTCCTCCATCATAGCACCTTTGGCAAGTGAATGTCAGATTATGCTCACCAGAATGTCCTTCTCTAGCTCACACCAAGCAAAACAGTTACATGTATTACACTAACACTACCTTGGCAGGTACACTGTTAGTGGGAAAGAACAAAACATGATCTATATACAGACATTCCCAAGGTTTTGTTTTCTCTGAAAATTAGTGAACATCCCGCTTTCCTTCAACTCGTTGCAGACTGCATTTCAGTCCCAACTGTATTACCACCCATAAACTAGTTAGCTTTTATCTTGAAAATAAGGAAAACACACACACACACTCTACAAGACAGAACTTGGAAAACATTGGCAGGAAGACAAACACTAACATTCATGTGGAGCTGGTAAGAACTAAGATATATTAATAAAGTATTTGAATTATTCAACTTAAAAATGACAGATATACCCAATCTCTACATAGACCCTTATTTTCTAGGGCAAAATTCAAGGTTAAGAAGGCTGGCAAAGAAAAAGCCATTTTAAACATTACACTAGAGATTTTTAATGCACATGAAAGGAAAGAGAAAATAAAAGTCCTTTATTACGATTTTCATATTATTTCTGAGCACATCTATAAACATCTTGTACCATACGTTTCCAAAGTGGAAAAATGTATGTTAAATTCCTCCCTTGTTATACTATTTTCTCATTTGTACAGCAGTACAGCTTGAGGAAGCTGATAAACTACCTTTAAATTTAGTATCAACATGATCTTATAGTTTAGAGAAAAAAGGGGTGGGGGGGGAAAAAACACCACACACACAGAGTACATGAAAAGCAGCATTATTACCACCTGGAAGGCAACCTTCTTGCTGCATCAATTCCAGAAGAACTAGATTCAGCCCTCCTGAACAGATTCTTCTGTTACACCACAATATTTTAGGTCCCGTATACAAAGAAAGGGGTATTTTTTCCCACTGCGGTCCTAGCAGTTTCATTACCATTTTAGAGACAAGACAATTTTAGAGACAACAGCAAAAACCTGAAGTGTTGGGAAATGTCTTTGATATAGTTTGAAGCAAAACATTTTCATTCTACCTGTGGCATAACATTTTACTGACAGACACAGTTCTGCAGATTCCAGCTTCCACAGGAAAGACTTTAGAAATTCATAAAGGACCTGACAGCTACCACATCTGCAAAAAGTGAAACTACATAACCTTCCCAATGCTTCTAGTAAATAAGCTATTATTCAAATGCTACATGCCCCTTGCAAGACCTACTACTCATACATGCCTGTCGATTTCAAAGGAACATTACCAATGGGTTTTCATCCATATGTACAATACAGACAAAATCCATGTGTCTCCTTTACAGTAGGACGAGGCAAGATGAGCCAGTGTGACCTCTATCTAGGTAAGAATCTGCCCCAGTGCCACTCCTTCACAAAAAAGCTGCCAGCATTGCTTTTACCCATCTCTTCCAGCAATATTCAATGCTCAGATTTATTGACAGTCAGGTCCTACACACTTTCTAAGCATTAAGGAAGAGCATTAGACCCAGTTAAGTTGAAATCACAAAGACTTGAGGGAAAAGTTAATACTCCAAGTTGGAAGGTCCAAGCTGTATGAAAATTGATTCAAAAATGTGTCTGTTCCTCCAAAGAAGAATCTCAGGCAACTCCTGTCCCTGGGAGGCCATGGGAGTTCTGCTGATTCAGTGAATGCCATTTCACCATAAGATTTTAGAGCAGAGATACACATGAGTGAAAATACTGTAAGAGTTTATTAGCCCTCAGGTATGGCATCTTAGATAAGCACATGAGTGATAATCCTGGAAGAGTTAATTAGTCTTCAGGTACAGCATCTTTTTCAAGAATGTTTTCAGGTGTTAGTTGGAAGACATGACCCAATCATCTAACCCATCTCTAACGCTTTCTATTCCATAGATGACAGCTTTTGAAAAATGTTTTTTATTCCACTTTGAAATAAGAAATTCAAAGTCACAGCAAACTTCTTGCTGCCTTTTTTTTTTTTTTTGGTGTGTGGGGGGGAAGGGGCAGCAGAGGAGGGGCAAGGAGGGAAATAGCATTTCATATTTCAGTTCTGTTAGCTCCCACTGGCAGTACTCAACACAGTAAACTCAAAAATGTTGAAATATGTATTTGTAAGGCAAAAGTGAAATATTTACCAAATTCACTTTAATTTGAGCATATTTTAGAAAAAATGTTTTCTAAAAAGCTAGAGATTCAAATCTGCTTTAACAAAAGCAAGAGCTAAACCCAATCTATGATCAAAGTCAGTCTTGAGTATCAGTCTTTAAAAACTCTTTTAAGCACAAAGATGAAATGGAATTTCCATCTCAAAACAGATCTTGCACTTTAATCAATATGTACCGAAGTATTACACACAATCCTACAAAACAGTTTCAACTTTAAATGCTTCTGCATTAAAATAGCTCTTTTCAGTCTGCACATAAAATTGCTTAGGCTGCTGAATTTACCAGACAGCATTAATGATACCTTACTTTTTTTTATAACAGCCAGCTTTATTAGTTGCAGCTGATGAAAAAAGGCACTTCCTGAAACCATCAAGTGCATTTGACATTTAAAATCTTAAGGAGTTGCTATTTTCCCTTTAAAAAGTGAAGGAAGGAAGCCCAGAGGAGGGAGATGTCCAGCAAAAGAGTTGGCCTCAATCACATCCTGCTCGGGCAGCTCCAGCTCCAGCGCGCGCCGGCAGCTGGGGGCTGCAGCTGCCGAGGACTCGCAGCCACTGACCCAGTTTGAGCAACTAGAGCAGCCCACACTGAGCGCACCGAGCGCAGCGCAGCTGCACAGCAGCCTGGCATCCTCTGCAGGGGCCATCCCTGCGCAGCCCTCTGCCAAAGAGGAGTTGGTCTTCCTCCAAAAATGCCTAAAAGCTCCCAAAGAAATAGTATAAGGTGATATTCATTAGACTTTCTCTGAAGGCAGGACCCACTATTGTCTAAGAAGTATCTAGAGCAGCATCTCAAATTAAACACTGGACTTCTTTGTAGAGACAAATACAGCTCTGTCTAGTTGAAAGAACAGCTGCCTGGGAGCAACAAATATTTATTTTCATTAAAATGAAATTGATGTACTGTGTCACCCTCACTAGAGCAGAGGGGTAACAAAAGGGACTGCAGGAGCAAGGATGGAAATAGGGAAATTTAATATTCACAATACTTAATGAGGTACATCACTTACCAAATAGCAGCACTGAGCACAATAGTTTAAGTTTTTCAAAAGCTGGAAGAACTCTACTGCTTCAAAAAATTTTAAACAGAGGACTTAGTTTAAACACAAGATTCTTGGGGAAATAAGTTTCCTACTACAAAATAAGTTTTAGCTTGTCTGAGGAAGACACCAAAAAAAATCAGTACTATGTTTCACTTCTATAATATCTTCCATAGGCTACAGTTCAAGGTGTTTATACTGGATTACCAAGCAGGACTATGACAAACCACTTCCATACAACTGTGACTGGCAGTACTGTGGCCTAAACTGGAGGAGGAAGGCTAGTGAGCCTAATCCATAAAGGGGGAGTAACAAAAAGCACGCAAAAGTGAGGATTCTGTGCCTCTGTAATAACTCTGTACAGTGAGTTATTCAAAAGAGATATTTCAGTAAATGGAACCAAACTAAAATATTTGGATTCAGATCAAATTGACCTTGTTTTACCTGCCCCTCTAGCCCTCTTCCCAGAGGGGATGTCACATGGAAAACTAGGTAAATCCTTTTACAAGAACCCTGAGCAGGATGTGTTAAAGTAATAACAGCATACTAATTCCAAAATATCACATAGCAAACCCAAAAATCTTTATGTTGGTTAGTTTAACCTTAACACAGAATGCAAAGTCCCTCTGACTGTATGGATCTATTCATATAGTAGGATATGCATCTTTTGCTAATCTATTAACAGGTGAGCCCTTTAAAGTTTGCAGTATTGCCAGAAAACTTTGACTAGGACACCACTCTTCAAGACTCCTATTCTTGAGTTTCATGGAATTACAGAATGGTTGAGCTTGGAAGGGACCTCTAGAGATGTCGCAATTTAGATTTCCTGCAAAAGGGCTTCTTACAAGACCTCATCCTTTATTTGAGGGATGCTGACAATACCAGGTGCATGTGCACTCTCCAGAGCTGCCCATGGGCATCAGCATGTTCAACCATGGAGACACCCACCGCACCTGTTCGGGAGCAGCAACATTTATTGCTTATGGTGAACTGCTGCCAACACATTCAGAGGTGGCTTGTCTGCAGCTTAAGTCTGTTCTAGCTGAACTAAACTCAGAACCTCCTTCCACACAGCAGATGGGTTAGTAGCCATCACCAGCCACAGATGAGATGGAAAAAAGACAAGATTTGGTCATTTTCCTCATTCGACTTCAGATTTACAGATACAATGTGGAAGTTTGTAGAGATCTTCCATGTAGGATACAATATATTCTGTAAGAATCACAGGTAGTTGTGAATAGCAGTAGTTAGTCTTAATATTTATATCTATATCTTAAACGACTTACGATTGCAATCTTGCCTAAACTCACTTTAGTTGAATCTCCTGCTCAGCAAGGATTTTTAGTTTGAGGACTCTAGTCAACCTTTCTAAAGTAGAGATTCATTATTGAGGATTTGTGGAAAACTGTAACACACTTCTTGCACACTATGCAAGAAAACATCTCCAAACAAATTTGGAGATGTTGCGTCACCTCTCCAAATTTAAGGGAAAAAATCTAATATTTTTAGATTCTGTTCAGAGTATGCAGTCAATCTGAATCCCCTTTGATAACTGTATATCTTAGAACATGTAGTGATGTATGCCTTACCTAAATCAGAAGCTATTATTAACTAATTATAATTCACATATTACTCAGATTATAAAAATGAAAAAGTAACCCTGATTTGACAGCCAGTGCAGCACAGGGCATATAACTAATGGCTAGTACAAATTCAACAATGTTTAAAGAAACATGGAAACATGCAGTTTTAATATATTCTCTTTTCTGTCACTTTTTCTGCCACTGTTAAAAACAGGAACACTACATTTTTAAAAGGAAAATAATCAGAGACAACAGGAGAAAACAATAAAAATATTTTCACAGATTATGATTTGTCTCTGGAACAAACACTTTCATTACTAGGAAAAGGGAAGCAGATAATTTTAAGTGATGTGCATACACTCCATTCCTCAGGAGCAAAGAGACATCTGTGTTTTCACAACACAGAGCCAACAGCATTCACCAGCAAGTAAACTAAGAACACTCCCGCAAAAGCATTTAAATAAAGGAAAATTGTATCTGAAAGTGTATTGAAAAAGATCAGTTTACTTCAGAGTCAGTAGCACTTGCTATAATCTCACAGAGTTTTCTTACTTTCCTACAACATTTCACTTTATGATGTGTCCCATTACATGGAAGCCCATCAAAAAGATCATTTTTCACTTTAGTAGCTTCCAACAGGCCCCCTTTGCCGTAAAGCTCTTTCTAGACAATTGACTGAACTCAGCTTCATCCATAGCCTTTTGCACCTAACAAATACATCAGCTAATGAGCAGCTGCAAGGAGACACAGACACAACAACTCTCAAGGGACTCAAAGACTTACACAAGGCAAACATTCCTTATGCCAGCATGTGTTTCAACTTCACAAGTTAATGATACATTAACATAGCTAAGTTCATCAGTTATTCATCTTGGAAGGCTATGCAGCTTTATTAATGATATGTTGGCACATTAAAGACATATTCTACAGAAATGAACGTACAGACTTGATAAAGTAGCACAACTTATCAGGTGAAGAAAAACATAATTACTTTTCTATGATACATGAGTAGTAACTCCAGAAGCAATTTCAACTTAGAGCATTATAACTATTTTCAGGTATAATTATACTTGGAATTATACCTGAAATAAGACCAAAAATCTAAATGAAATGTGATTATGTTCCATAATTCTTAGCAGTTTGTCACAAGCCAAAAAGTAAGGACTTCAGGAAGATGAGTTAGCTCTAAAGAAAAAACAAACAACAAGCACACAATGGTTTTATAAGACTAGAACATAAAAGAATGGTTTAGTGGAACAAATGTTTTCTGAATGAAAGTTTAGAGAAGTATAAATATGGTTTTATTCCACAAACAGACAAGACCAATTCCAAAAATCTCAAAATTAAAGACTAAAACATCTCACAATCACTTAACCAAAGATCACATCACACCATGTTAAAATATGACAAAAATCTTCATCTTTTTCATCCAAACTGTTTAAACACTTCTTGTACAAGTATCAACTTTTTTTCGTAAGCACTGAATGTACTGAAGATTGTACTAGATAACCACACAAGCTCAAAATCCCTCTCCTTGGAAGCTTCTATTCTTTAGACAAAAGCCCAAAGAGCCCTCCCAGGCTCTCTATGGAGAGACAGAGATTCCTGCAGCAGAGATTTGTAATATCTATGCATTCACTTTCTGAAGTTTTATACCTAGAATCATGTAATGTTTACTCACCTGCTGGATTAGTTTGGAATCCTTCTGCAGATTTTCCCTGGGTGGGACTTTTCCAAACAGCTTCCAACCAGGAGCACTTTGGACAGCAGGTTTGAGTTCCTTTGTCCTTTTAGTGAAAAAGTTTCTGAAAAGAGAGAAGTGTTGCTCTGTTTGGTTTTAATTATAAGCATATAAACAGTGTTACTCCAACCTATTTACGTTTACATCAAGTGCACCACTGTAAATGTTCACTGCTCAGCAAAATACATATTTTACCTAGTTCTCCCTCACTCATAAAAAGGTTAATTTGAGGTAGCATTCATTCCATGTGCTTTGATGTCAATACATTCATTCTTAGCATTCCATTTTACCTCTGACTTCTAAGCCACTTAACTGTGTTTAACATCAAAATTCATTTAATAATATCAGACACTTTCTTTAATACGTTAGTGACATTCAGCAGCTCTTAAACACTTTTGTTTGGCATTTATTTTAGTATATCTTATCGTGGAGATATCTGGAACCTGAAAAAGGTATAAACCTGAAAAGGCTTATAAAATAAAAATCAAAAAACTGCTATTTTCACTAGCATTTTTGACAAGTTTCATAACAGACTGGAAAACAGAGCTCAGTTTAGCAGACACCCTTTGCCAGTGCCTAAGGCAATTACACTTGCTCAGGCAGATGACTGCATTGCTCAATTATTTCTTCGAAAGCCAACCATCACGAGGTCACATCAGCAACCATTTGTCTAGATGCACGCCTGTACTACTTGACCTGGACCAAAAGTTCCCACAGAGCATATTATGTATCAATGCTTTGAAAATAATACATTTATTTTGACTACTAGAAAGTTACTATCCAGAAATTTAGGTATAAGTGCAGGGATCAGGTAGAAGTACCCTGTAGGCTTAGGATGCTTCCATGCTCACACTGAGCATACAGAACACTAGACCCCCCTGCAGAGACTCACATAAGCTACCAGACTTCAACATTACTTCATGGAGCATTCCTTCAGAATCATTGTACTAACATGCTAACTTTGTACTTTCACACTCATAACACTTTAGTCGTCCAGGAGGAAGCTCCCAAATTCTTCACTTAAAGCATTTTCTTTATTCTGAAGTACACTTCCTTCTCAGGTGGTCTGTATTCATATCTGTGCATAGCAATTACCTTCTGGCTTTACCCAGATAGAAGCAGCATGCTCCAACAACTGTAATCTGCCTGAAAAGTGTTCAGCCACTCAAATTCCAGCACTGTCAAGGTTTCAAATCATGAAGTAGGGCTTTATAATTAGGAACAGACAGTGTTTGTAAAACACAGTACAATTTTCAAAGACAAACCTTATCTTTTCAGTTCCCACAATGTCTTACAAATGCCTCTGTGATAAAAGCCCCTTCTGTGCAACCTTGCCTGAATGGGCTCTACACTTGTGTGTGTAGCAAAATACATAGCTACCAGAGAAGAGCAAACTGGAGAGAAAAAAACATACTGAGAGGTAACATGTGAAAGTCCTCAGGAACCTACAGGCCCAAGACTACAGTCCTGGAGAAGCCATAAGAACTGACAAACTCTGAAGACCAGGACCTGGCTGAATGCACCTGAGGCCATCGTGTTGCACACACTACTGCCATTAACAACATGGTATAATTCAGACCACTTTCAAGGTGGTGGCTGCTATATGCAGACAAAGGCTACAGGATTTTATGCACATCTGATTAAAGAGACAGTCCCTGGGGAACTTCCTAAACACCCACCTAGAAGTCACTAGTGCCTCAAGTCCAACCTTATGTTTCTGAGGGAGCAGCTGAGGTTGCCCTCCCAGCTGTTGTCCCAACCCAGAACTGCACAGGGACATATTGAGAACTGTGTGCTGTACAGGTACCTGCTATTAACAGAATCAAGCTATTGCCATTAGGAACAGCACGTGTTCTAGGAAGCACTGGTTACGCTCTCCATCTCCCCCCATTCAAGGCTCTCTGAGGAGACCTGACCTGTGGCCACCCGCTAGGCACAACACAGTACAAGCACCTGGGCGCCCACACAGCAGCAAGGGGGCAGGACTGATCAGAGAGCCACCACACAAGGACTCTAAAAGACACTTTCCTCAATCATCCCAACCCAGGCTGTATGACCTTAGTGGATGAACAGCTCCAGCCATATGAATAATAAAATAACCCGTACAAGATGGAAAAGCATGCTAATATAGAGAACAGACCCTCGTTTCACAAGTGCAGGACAGTTTTCATAGTGCCCTACACTGCATGCAAGAGGAAAAGAAAGGGTTTAGAAATGCACTGCGGTCCTAACTGTTCGGTTAGCAATTCCACAGCTTCTTAGAGCTTTTGCTAGTACTGAGATCACGTGTATTTTCATTTTGTGTGTGTAAGGGGGCAGGAAGAAAGTTCGTTTTTTTCCTGTTTACTTAACGCTTTCTAGTATACGTCCCTGCTCTTTCAAGCCTCTAATAGCAGTTTTGACTTAGTGAACTAAGTTGAAGATCTTTTGCTTGTTCAGAAGTGCCTGAAGTTGACACACCGGGGGAGGAAACCAACACTCAGACAAGAAGTTCTAAGGTATTTTTAAGTTAAGTTCAACTTAATTTAAGAAATTAATTCACAGCAGGATAAAACCCAACTTTTTAGTGAGCAATTAGTAGATTTAGCCTGGGTGCAAATGCCTCTTTCACATGATCACTGCAAATCACTACAGCTGCTCATACTTTACTACAGCCTTGCCCTCAAGTCTGAACTACTGCAGTGGCTGAATTTGAACTTACTGGAAATAGGTTTTCAGAAACAGGTATGCAAGAAGAAACATTAAGGGAAATACAAAATAGCTCCCGTGTCCTGCCTACACGCACTGCAATAGCCACCTGGGCTCTGCACATGCCAGCATCACCTGGCCTCACTGCTGGTAGCACCTGGGGAAGCTGCAATACACACGGCTGAGCCCAAATGCAACTGGGTGCCCTGCCAGAGCTGCTTCGTGATTAAACCAAAAGGCTGGTAGATTAAAAAGGAAGAACAGCATAAACATACAGAACATGCTTTAAATTACATTTCTGTACAAAAGCTAAACAGCATACCTAGTATGCCCAAGGCTCTTCAGAGCTTTTTCTTTATTACAATCACAACGTTAACACAAGCCTTTCAGAAATTAATCCTCTTAAAAAAAATTCTTTAGCATAGTGAAATAAACACGAGCTTATCTGCTTTTAGGAACATGCAAGACAAAAGATATATTTTCACTCTTGTTTAGTGGTAAATACTTAAAGTTTGTTTCTTCTGAAAGTAGGAAATCAGGTCAGGTTTTGTTATCAATCACAAGAATAAACTTCATGTAGGAATTCTAATCCAAGAAAATTATGGAAGGTTTACAAATAAGCTTTCCATAATCAGGATGGAAGGACACTATTTCAGCAAGCTGTTTTGGCAGTTAATGCAGCACCACCTTTTCTAATGTGTCACTGACAACAATAAAGCCTTACAAGAGCCATGGCCTTTTAATTAACAGCATCTGTGCCTGCTTACAAAGTACATTCACTGAA